CTAACAACCCCAGTTCGAAGTTACGATGGGGTACTACAATGCCGATTTTAACATTGGTGTGGAATTCTTGTGGGATTTGCATAATCTGTTTACGATAAACTCGAAGCAAATAACGTCAAATTATTCATATCCAGTTTAAACACAGAATGAAACCTACTGTCTTCTTACAGCGACAGTCGATCATTCGTCATCTCACCGGGTTCGTTTAGTCATATTCATGTGATGCCAAATTCAGAATGGTGTGCCGTTTTCTATTGGGAACAGCAAATTTGGGCTCGTCTCGGCTCAAGCGTTTTCTTATTAAAATTAACTAGTCAGTTTTTTCTTTGGGTTTTATTTGTGTCAAAAAGAACAGACGAACTACAAAACCTTTGGAAGGACCTTTCTGGCCTTGAGCTTTGAAGTTCCACTGTGATTAGAACCGCTAATAACATTCCACATTTATCCAATATCTATTCAGTTGAGCACCTTACTTGGTGGATATGGGAGAAATAAATAGGTTTGGGCTGCTGGTTTTATGGCGTTGTTTCAACGGAGCGGGCAAAAATTGGTACATGAGTTGTCACTATAGCTGTGAGACATAGCTAATAGGGTCTAAATTACAGAGGAGAGTTCGAGTGTTCGGAAACAATTCACTTAGAGTTCGTTGCTACAAAGGAAGCCTTAGAAGATATAACAAAGTGTGAGGGGTTCACAACGTTAGCAGTGTCTGGTCAAGCTGCTGAAAAATATGACTGGTTGGCAAAGAATATTTGACACAATTTCGTTGACACAAGTAGAGCCAGTAGACTATATGAAAACACATAAAATATTTCTTATCGTTTGGTAACCAAAACCGGAAGGGTTGCTAGGGGCTAGTTGCTTCAGACTCTTCTACCTACTTTTCTTCTACCTACCCGACCATGTTCTAAATCAATGTGCTTCATTCTGTCGATATTAATTTAAGAAACGTTGAGAAATTTGCAAGACAATATTCTAAGCAGTGGCCGCTCCGAGTGAAGAAATCAGGTCCTGGATACTGTAAACCCAGAGCGATTTCGATTTTCGAATTGCTGGCCAGGATGTACACCCAGAGCGAGTTCGATTTTCGAATTGCTGGCCAGGATGTAGGAGCTTGTCTGAGTACGACGAATATTCCACATATATAAAGGTTTGTTACAGATAACTCTCCAGCGTGCACCGCTTTGGGTTTCATGTGCTTTTTTCCACTAACGTAACGTTTAAGACATTCTGCTTGTTTAGAGAGGTGGTTAACACAATCTTAACTGATCGATTGTTGATAGTTTTCTGTCCGCTCTAACAATCAAAACCTCGAAATTCCTAATCAAAATATGGATTAATTCTTGTAACAAAAATAAACTGTGATTGCTATGATTGATGGTAAAATACTGGAAAGTCTTTGGGCAAAAAGCTAGCAGTTCTTCTGGCTCTTGAGATTTTCACATAACTATTTCGGTTCGAGGACTATTTCAGTTATCTTGCAGATAACTTAACGGTGTGCAAATCGCCACTTAATTTGCCGTGCAAAATGTCCCTCCGCAGCAGGTGATTTCTTTTATTGCAAAAAATACATATTCTGAAAAGCTCAGATGTCAACATCGTTTTTTAGATTATATGAAAAAGATCGAGATATTTGTTGACCGATTTCCCCTGAATTTCATTGTGCAACAATATTTTTCAAAGGATAGTAACTCAGACGTGAAAAGAAGATAAAATGATCCAAAATTCTTAAGACAAAAGTAGTTCTTTGGTTTTATTACGGACAATAAAACCATTTTTTCGTGGATAGAAACTTAATTTTTTAGACGCGATTACTTTTTTGGATAATCACATTTATAAGTAAATAAAACTGTGGTTAGACATGATGAAAATGTTTGTCAATGATACACCGAAGTATATTTTCTTGAAGGACGTTACTGGTTTATAAGTGGCACTAGTTATTCACGGTTGTTTAGACTAATTATGAAAGACAGTACTACGCTCCAAACACTCGATACCAAACCTCCCATTGGTTTTAAATCATTTTAGCACACATAAGGGATGTGAAAGTAGTCGTTGCCATGACAAGTTGATTCACGATTCGTATACATTCGTATACATTTCTGGACAATGATATTCCTTTCACATTGCGCAATGATCAACTAAATATAATTTTTTTCTTTTCACAAATGGCTCAATAGGGAATTTGAAAAAAATCCTAGCATAACGAACTAGCTACTGAATTTTGTCAATGATATGAACTTGCTTGATCTATCGAAGAGTGCATTAGTTGAACTGAAAGCTAAAATACGCTTCCGGGAACAAGGAAAACGTCAAAACATGTTTGTCGACTACAGTCTGTTTTTGCGTGTATCTCTATTGTACGATGTCTAAACATTTTTGTTTGAGTAGAAATCGTCCGTGGACAGGAAACCGGAATTTCTGGGTGAGAGATAGAGTAAAATATTCAGATCTGAAGAACAGGTCAAAATCAGATATTTTAGAGATCAAGACAGACCTTTAACCAAATTGAGTTGATCTAGGGATGTGGAGTATCCAGTGCTGCCGTAAAATTGAGTCTGCTGTCTCCAATGTTAGAATATCATTAAAGATGCCAGCAAAACTTTAGAACCCGGATTGCTTGTTTGACGCTTCACTATTCAAAATAATGAAGTATTTCAATGAATAAGATTATGATATGTCCACCATAGTTTTACCAAGACTGATGACTTTGAATCTCCTTATGACTTTCAACGGACAATAAATGAACTGAAAACCGAAACAGTTATACCTTACAGCTATTATTTGACATTGCCTTGAGATAGTGGCTCTGTTGCATTTATCAGAATAGACGTTGCACAGCCAGCCTGGCTATATCAGGTTTCGTGCGTAAGTGATTGCCTTTTGAACCCACTTGCAAATTGTGCGCAACATCTAAAAATTGCAGGATTTCGCCCTCATACTCAAACAGAAATTTCAAACATTCAACATAATAACTTATGCGATTCTCTATAAAATGGATCATCACATACAAACAGAACAACGCTTATTTACAATTGATGATTTACCCCATATTAAGTCTATTCACGAATGATAATTTGCTTGTATTGACATTTCAGTCCTCTGGGGTTCGCCAGACTGATAGGTTGCACGACAATCGGATAGAAATATTGAACATTGAATCTAAGGTAATAAAATTTCCGTGGTTGTTTGCTCACGTTTTCTCTTTCATCCATTGTTTAATCACGTTACGCCCTTGTTTGCTGTCACTTAAGAATCCCAAAATAAAACTATTAAGGTTGACCAGGCAGAAGGAGATGAAAGCGGAGAAAGAGCATTCTTGGTCTAAGATTATCAAATGGTTATTTTTCAGTCAATACTTGCATATATAGATGCAACCTATCTACTGGTGAAAGGAGGAGTGTTCTCGAGTGCGGAGTTGTTCACTGACCAATACAAATTAGGTGGTAACAAGTTATATGACCTAAAAGTAAAAAAACTCAGTTGCACAAAACTTCTAAAAAGTAAACAAGCGTCTTCTTGAGCTTCTATGAATGATCACTGAGCATTTGGAACAATAAGCAAACAGTAACAAACGGCTAAATAACTTCCGTATCAACCTTCCATCAGATGCAGGAAGGACAACTTGAAACTTGGTCAAACACTACTTGCATGTTTCATCAGATGCTTATACCCATTGCTGAATCCCGTTGGTTTCGTGGTCGCTATCACTGATGTGTTACAACAGTTTCATTTGGGTTGAGCGTGACCGGGAAGAGAGAATCTGTAGGCGAGAAGATTGCGTCTCATATGTATCACATCAGACACCTAAGTCCTGGTCATTACTTTCCCATCTGGATGCAATCTACCTAGCAATGGATGCAATTCATTGAGCTTATGACGCACACAAAGACTGGTAGATACCGGGCGTTTAGAACCAGGTAATTGTTAGAATGGGCCATTACCCCGATTTTGATTTCCTCTGAACCTCATGGAAATCCAAATTTCTACCGAACTCCAGATTTTCAACCCCCAGATTTTAACCCACTATATTGGTTTTCCTAAGAGACCTGACACACCAAAATTGTTGTCCCATGCGGGCAACTCGGGCAAATCTCGAAGGGATATATGGTCACATTTGATGAACATTGGTGCCTGATTCCAAAACTTATTTTATCGCGTCTACTGGATAGCATTTCGTCCAAAACCGAATATTTGAGGTAAGCAGGATTCGGATTATACCTACACCGGTTCCAAGAACTCAGTAGTGTTCTTAAAAATGAGAGATATAAGGTGGGACGATTTTCGCTCATCCTGTAGATTTCTGTCGACTTGAGTTTTTACTCAGTATCTAAATGTGCGATTCTTTGTACTAAACATACCTTGGATTGTTTCGTGTACAAGTATTTCGCTCATTAAATATGCTTGTCACTATATTTGGATCTAGATGCGTTCTCGTTTACTGCAGAGTTCCATCCTCAGTTTACTTCCTGCAACGTACTTTGAGAAAGTTCAAGTGTGATTCCAATGGTAGTAGGTGCAGACTCCAACCGGCACACTTTTTGAACAGAATACCCGCACCATTCTTACTAAAGTTTTGAACGGGTGCTTGAGGCAGTTGCTTTGAACTGTCATTACATTGGGAAAACTACAAGACGGGCTCAAAAGTCAACCAACACATTTGTTAGAAATTTATGTATTCACACATTTATATCCCAAAGTATCTGTCCCCACATCATATCCTTCTGTGAAGTTCTACCGCATAATTAGAGGAAATTCAATGAGCTCGCTTCCAATCTGGTCCATATTTGGACACAGAATCCGGTGGCAGGTTCATTTGGGACTTGAGAACGTCCACCCAGAACTTACCAGTTACAGAATCTTGGTCTGACTGGATACGTATGAGAACTACTTTATACAAATTTACGTGAATTTAAAAAAAATTGAAATGCATCTAAGACCCAACAGCTGTTACCGGTTTCAGATTTTTCATCTACCTTTTCATCTTTTCGATAACTCACTTGAAAACAAAATTGTTCATTAAAATCTGGATTGTCCGTCTGTTTTTTTGTTGCGGTCATATGAAACTTTCGCTCGGCTTGTTCAAGGAAGAGCCTAGAAAGAAACAGAGCAAGCGTCCATTAAATGATCGCAATATAATATATAAGAGGCCATTGTGATTTTCGTTTTCTTGAGAAGGTACACAGCACTGCTCATTTAAGCTTGAATTCAGGCACCGTAATCATACCCTATAGGGTTAAATGGATTTAACTTCTTGATGGACTTAAAATGCTCACTAGTGAGTCTCTAGAAGGAATTAGTCAGGATAAATTCTGTTTGTGCAGACAAACGTTCGTATCCAACGGTTGTCAGAATAGCAGCCCATGAGAGTTGTTTTCACATTCGGACTTGTCAGGTCGAAGCAGAAGGGTCAATCATGCTTCTCCTTGATAGAAATTTTTGAGCTGCTGCCTCACGGACAGTACTCAACGGTATGGCATATTTAGTCAGCTAGTCAAGACCCACGTCTGGCGAATTATAATGGGGACCGGGGACGTGTTTTGCAGCTATTCGGAGCCAAAACATGGTGTCTTCAAATTTCTGGAAAAATATCAGGCCACTTGGTCAGTTAGCTTTACCAGTATTATTGAGTACTCCGACACAGTTATCACAATGCTGATGATTATCTAAATACATTATCAGTGGGCGAGAGGAAAAACCCTATCCAAATCATGTTCAGAATATTACTATCTCAGTGACATACTTACATACATACTTAGTGACATAATTTTCACACAAGCATTTACCACTCCAAATAATCGTTAAATGGGCTAGCTTGGGACAAGCGACGCAGCTTTTTGCAACGTTATTTTATGAAAGCACAGACACTTATTGGTTCCGGGAGAGACTAACTGGTTAATCTCGTCTAAATGTGCTATATTCAACTTGAATTTGTCAAACCTAACAATGCACTATACCTGCACAAAAATTCACCACAAAGCCAACATTATTTTCAACCAGATGCAAACAAAGGCATTGAAAGATCTTGCCAGGTTATTTCCTGAGTTAACTCCGCGTAATTTTCTAGATCGGTTAAGTCAGTAGTATATTTTCCAAGAGGCAAAACTACAAAAAATTGACCAAGGTTTTCCAAGCCAATAAAGCTCTGATTCGGATTACAACCGTTATCCGGATAGATGTTGCTTACTTCCATTGTGAGGTGACGTGCTACACAGCATCCAACTTCAGGACGAGTGTCCGACATTCTGCGTTGCATTTAACTACCACAGAAAATAACTGTACCCGGATGGGTGGACCAAAAATTTCTGTGGATGATTCTGAGTAGAATATTTAGGCATTTTAATTGATATCAGCCAAGCCAGTACATAATCTTGCGCCCACTAAGAAGCACATTCAAAAGACGTTCCACGCAAAGGCAACAAAATATATGTGGCTGAGAAATTTCTCGGTAGTTTTAAAAATCTCTCTGCCATCCCCAGTAAGCTCAGACACATAAAACCCTTATTTCTAGTGAAATTGGTCGCTTATTCACCGTAGCAGCTTGCTATAGACAAATCTCAGTTTTGAGCCTCTAGTAATTGTTTTTAGTGATCCAAAACGTTGTTTTACGTATTACTTTTGTGATTAGCATCCGCTTTTACATTCAAGCACCATGGTTATTGAAGAAAATGGGACGTTTTATGTATCTATTGGGTAGCCAGAGGAGACAAAAATTGGGTGTTTTAAATGTTGAGCATGTCGTGCAGAACCAAGTAATAAAATCGTGGTCACGGTTAGGCCATCCATCTCCATCAATCTTGTGGGAACGACACCGATGGCCTTAAAATAAAGTTGCAATGATTTATTTTCACAATTGATTCCAGCGAAAACCAACGATAAACTTGAAACATTCATAATGTATTATTTTTTCCGAAGTTTGCACGTCAGATGGCCTAGCCACTTTTTCTCATGTTCATCATTGTTCATCGTAATTTTTGAACATATTAAGTAACCACTGACTAGCTTTTAACGATCACATCTCAACCGAATTTCTGAGACTCCCAGAGATTTTGCGTTACCTGTGGAGTCTGCCTCAAAATCATCTGAACTGCATGGATCCATGAGAATTTCAACTCAGAACACGTCGAATACCATTATATTCGGTAACGTTAGATCGCTTAAATCGTCAAGGGATCGCATACTTGAGCCAAATATAACTTTTTCTTTAAGTAAACGCAAACCCAGTCCAGCTTACATCATTTTTGGTCGATGATGCATTGCACAGCGTCATGGTTACTAGAGAGTATCTAGGTGTTCTTTTGTTTTACACTTCCACTTCGGGCAGCCGCATAGGAGACATCCTCCTAAGTTCGTACTTTTGACACATCTTATTGATACAACCCTTTCAATAGGAGATTCGTTTGCAAAGGATAAGGCTGGTGTCCAAAAGCTACTAGGAAACTAAAGGGAATTATTGTCATTTGAAAAACGTTCAGTGGCAAAATTGATGACAGACCGGGAAACTAAAAATGGTGCAACGTTCTACTGTTGAATTCATAATGTACTTACTTCACACGAAAATCTTGGAGCAAACAGTCCTCGTTCTGGGTAACGATCTGTGATTGGTCGGGCATAAGGGATCCAAAAACGGACCATTTTCTCAGATTTCTCGCTTTGTGAATTGTGACCTTTAGTAGTTCACTTGAACGAGAATAGGAAACGGTAAACCATATACGACCCAAATGCCCTGGCGTAATGTCGTATAAATCTTCGCCTTCCTCACTCAAGTAAAGACGAGGATCAAGTTTTCCCAGCTGACGGCCATGTGCTGGATGAAAAAACAAAACCAGTGGGATGGGGAAAATGAAATTCGATGTTTGCGTTTTCAGCCGCATAAAATATTTTATCAAAGTGTTGGCAAATACGATAGTTTACATCAGAATCTCCGTCCGAGCTGAACTGCTCTGTAGCTAAATTAAAAAGTATGCTTTTTTAATAATTCCAAAACAAGTAAAAACGACTTGCATTTAAATTTATTGCCAGAAAATGCTATACAATTACCAATTCTCTGATTGTGCCACCGAGTACATTCTTCTTTAAGGGGGAAGTTTGGGTAATCAGACTAATCTAAGGACAGTCAAACTGACACTTGTATAACAGATATGCGGATTTCACTCAAGCCCAGCCTCCCTGTAGCGGCGAGTGCACGCAGAAATATATACACAGTACTCTGCAGTTTAACTGTAGCGCTAAACTGAAGGCATCCCATTTATCATTCCCGTGCTGCCGATTCCACAAGCAAGCCTTTAGTATGCGTGACTGAAGGTAAAAACTGCATGGTATGGGCGTTAACGATCGTGGCAATTTTTCTGAATTTGTGAACCACAAAAAAAGTTAGACAAATTTTCTGATAGCTTGTACTCTGAGGAGGATTTCAAATATTTAAATAGCGATTTCACACGAGGAATGGATATTTTATATCTTAGAGGTCGTCACTTGAAATGCTAGTCAGTACACAGCCACGTGACGTCAGTTTCGTAAATAAAGGTTGCACTGCGCTATATCTTGTAGAATTGCGAGCTAATCACTGCCGCTCAACCGTTTATTCTTCACTTACGCATATTTTAGCGAATACATATTCGACAAAATTATCTTCAAAATAGAACACTTATAAACAGCCACTTTTACAAAACCATCTGATCAGAACACTAAACGCTCTGGGCGCAGACTGGTGGCTGAGCTCCCCGGTACAGCATAAGTCCTTATGTTACTCAGAGATCAACAAACGTGTCCCTTACAATCTACACTGCTAGTCGCCAAATTGTGATCGTGTGGCATATTTTTAGAATTGCAAATATACTGGGCCTTTGCATCAAAGGTTAGCACCATATAAATGTGCTCAAAACTCTGAGCGTTCTACGATTGAGACTTCACATTTTCCTACATATATCAACCCTCCTTTTTGCAATTTCTACCCCACATATGTTTCAAGAAATGCAGATTTTGGTATATTTTTGTACGGCAAAAATTTTAGGGCACCTAGATTACAGAATCTGTGGAACATTCTAGTGCCATGGCTCCGTATTGCATCTCGTTTTTGGAAAATAATGGACAAATTTTAGGCGTTTTGTAGCATGTTGCCTTACGGTTATCAGATTTAATTTTAAGGGCACTGAACATTTGGTATAACTTAGATATTTGCGAGTGATCATATTACCCGACATGGTCGACAACGGGCTCAAACAAATGTCCACACCTAGTGAACCTGAGTATTATTATGATGAGCTTGTCTTTCTCAAATGCTGGTTTGAGTAACAGCTATGCCATATAACATGGACTGAAGTTATTCCTAATTCTGCGGTTGTGTGGTTGTTCTGACTGTATGATTTACTGACTCCTTGTCTAACTTGAGCCATTACGTGCAACATTTTATATGAAAATTATCCTCGAGTGTTTAAAAGCGTTAGAAAGTTTCAAGGTGCCCAAGTTGCCGATCGGCCTGTCTACAGCCCCCTATTTTCAATAGTCTAATTAGTGCAAAATTTACCTAACTAAATGTGTACTCATATGATTGTTTGAGTAATCGTACTGGGACTAAAACCATTTTTGTTATGTTTACGGGTGATACCACCTGCATTTTGCGTGCTCAGTGTACTAGAAGATGGTGTAACGTTGTTCTTCCAAACATATCTGTTATAAACATCACAAGGAACGAGTCGGTAATTTTTTTAACCAAGCTTCCAGTGTCATTCGCGTTTTTGTGATAGGTTTGGATCCGATGGCAAACAAAGTAATGTCTCAACAACTTTTCGTTTGTTTTTGACGTGAATTTAAACCGTCTCAAATTCTATGACATATTTGCACAGCTGATTCATTCAGGAAAAGCCTCTCTGCCTTCCAGTGGGATTAGATGCAGTTAAAGAGAACTTTTCACACAAGTGTCACTATCTTACAGGAATGTGTTTAAAATTTCTGCCTTCACAAGTGCAACAAAGAAAAAAACTGCGTAGTCAAAAGATAATCCACTGGCTCAAATCTATAGGCACGTATTTTATATTTCAGACGACAGCTGAAGTTAATCCGTTCCCGTTGTTTGGAAAAATTCAATTCTTGTCAGCCAGAAAACTAGAAGAATATCACCGGTGACTGCTCATCAAAACTTTGACTGAGTAAAATAAATAAATGGGGATGAGTGAAATGGCAAGAAAATAATTCCTTCTACAGGTTTCACTTATTTTATCCGGAATCCTAGTGGGGTAAAAATACATCGTCGAAAATCTCATTATTTGGCATATGTACCTATTTATACAAATATGATTTGACGATGAACAAGTCCAAAAAATACAATCATTTTAGTTAATTAATAGTTGTATGTTTGAGACATTTGGTTTGATTCGAACAGAAAGCAGTATTGAGCATAGTTCAGACTGTTATTCTCGCAGTCATTTTGTCGTTGATAAAGTTAGTGTTAGCTGCTCCAGGATCTCAAACATAGTGAATCCCGTGTTACTCTGTCACACTGAGGCGGGTTCTACTATCAGACGGTCTCTAGCAAAATACGAAAAGTAGCAACGCCATAAATAAATTCACGAGTGTTTTAAAAAATAAAACTTTTCAAAGCAAAAGCTTTCTCGGCAAAATTGAAATACCTCTCAAGTGATAAATTCCACAAACTTCCGGTGCATACGTTGTTCGGTAAATACAGTATGCTCTTTCGCGCCCTGAAATAGAGGTTACAGCGGTACTGAACACATCTCCTGCATACCTTTGGCCTTTACACACATTTTGGTCTCAATTTAAAAGAGTAAAACATTTGCATAGAGAAACCACTTTACAACAAAGCAGTTATAACGTACTGCGCTTCAGAAAGCCCAAATTTACCGCATTCAAATTACCACGGTAGTACCGGCCACCAAAATTAACAAAGTCGGAAGTTTTTTTCAAAATCACTTGCAATTATCTTTAGTACGCATTCAACAAGTACCAGTCCGCGTGTTAGAAATAATACAAGATCACCTGGACAATTGGATATCTTGGAAAATGTCTTTTCTCCACTTTTCGTGCCTTACGGAGGATGAATACTTATCAAACAACCATATGTTATCCAAGTGCCCAGTAAATTCTCATTAGCAAAACCCTCATAGACCAAATCAATTAACCCTGTCATCTCGTCTGAAAAGCGTGCTCAAATGCAATTACCTTTTGAAAAAATTTTGTGTGTGTATTTCATTGCCTGGTTAGTCATCAAACCTGGAAACTAATGGTGAAGGTACGTTTACTTCCATGAATGAGAAATGCAGATTCAGTTGTATTTTTCAGTGAACCAGCATTGGAGTCGGTCGCGAAGTGAACCAGAATCATGCCAGTAAACTTCATTGTCGAATGCACTGCCTTTGGTCCGAAGTTGGTAGCCCGCGTTGTCTAGCAAACGCCGAAGAGGTTCATCAGTATACTGGTTACTGCTCTAAGTGCACTGAACACGTTTTATCCAGGGATTCTAGGCATTCTAATCGATCTGAGAATTAAATCTGATAAAAAGGGACAACTGGGTGTACCAAGCATTGTCCTCGTATTTACATCTATGTGGACGTTAAGTGCGACATTGTTCCGGTCCAAGGAGTGAGCTAAATTTATGCATCGGTTGCTTATGTGCCTAATTCCTATATATATAATTTATATATATTTTATGTGATCTGGTGTAAACCGGCTACTAAAAGTCCAACGTTAACATTAAGCAGTGATCCGACTTTGGTCTTATTATGTGGTTTGCCTCACTCATTTATCATGACGGATATTTTATTTATTTTATTTTATTATTTTATTAACACATCTTTCAACCCGAATGCCTCTATAATTACCAACATTCCTTTTGGGATGATTACCCTTTAGGTACGCAAAGTTCTGCACACGTGCAGATGAACTTTGTACAGTAAAATCCAATCTAGAAGCCCTTGATCCAGAAGAACTGTCTAAATTTACGATAGACCTTTGTTTTCAGCTCCAATTTAGGCAGTATTTACTTGAAAAATTAAGACGGAAAAGTTTCACTCGTTGCCATGTCCAAATGAGGTGCATGGAGTACCAAAAGGAGTGCGAACACACTTTAGTTTTGGTGAACTAATCACAAAAGGCTCATGCTCGATTAACAGGATTTCAGTAGAGTAGCCCTTTTTCACTCAACTGATCTCAAAAGAATAACTTCACTGTGTTCAGAGAAATATGAATCAAGGAAGTCCACATCTGAGTGCTTAGACTATGCTCGAAGAAATCGCTATTCTATTGTACGCAAAGGATATCAACTTGACCAGCGAAGTACACAGCTGGTAAAACGGATAAACAGTCATAATTGACGTCTTTGATGAGTTCATGAATTTTATGTTCAAAATGGGAAGCAAAATAAAAAACCTGTCATATTACATGAGAAAAGAAAAGGTGCTAGCAGAAGTAGACGATCTTGGGATGCCCTTATTCAACAAATACCACCACCTGGTGCAAAAACGTTTCCCACAAGTGTTTGAACTTTTACAGTCATATTAGTTTTTAAAGACACTACTCATTTTTGCCGTTTAAAGTTTTGCATGCGCTACACTTAGGTTTTTGGAAACTACAATAAAATGTTCCTCATCAATATGAGTAAACGTGATAAAAATGACAATCTCTCCTTAAAAAGAAGCGTGCAACAGGTGGTGTAGGTTTATTACCTAGATAACTACAAGCGAAACGCTGGATATCTTCTAATTCACCTAGAAGGTATTACCTATTTGGTAAAAAAGCATGCGCAATGGTGAAACTAAATGAAATCCTGCTAGTTTACCCTCTAATCCATAA